GGTCCCTTTCAAAACATTTTGCTGTTATATAATTAGTATTGTTTAATTATGACTGACACATTATAATTATGTATGCAGCATGTTAATGTTGTAGCTGATCCAGCTGTAATACATATTATATATACTGTACTATACTATACTATACAACACTGTACTATACTATATACTATTAACAATTTTAGTCTGAAAAGTAATTAGATTTTAAATAAATGTAATGGAGAAAAAATACAATATTTCCCCCTGAAATGTAGTCAAGTAGAAGAATAAAGTAGCATTAAAAAGAAATAAAGTATCTCAAATGTAGTTAAGCACCAGGAGCAGATAACTGAACATATAAATATGAAAGAAGTGTTGTGTACAGCTATTATCCCGTTTGTTTGAACCTTGTTTGTTCCTTTAAATGTGGTCATTTGGAAACGTCACAGTCAGCAAGCAAACAGAACAATACAGGCAGTTTTTACATTTTATTGATAAATTATCATTTTTAAAAAGACCCACGAGCCATCCTCTCCTTCAACCTCTCACTACAGTTCTCCAAGTACTGAATTTGAATTATGTACAAAGTTTTTTTTAATATTATTTTCTGTTTCATCGTCATCATCATCATCATCATCATCATCATCATCATCATCACATTCAAAACAAAGGTTACAAGTTTGAACTGTGCCCACTGGTCAAGGTCAAGAGACAGGATGCTGAGTTAGCCTATAGCGATGCTAGCTAGCACAGAGTTCACCGGAGGTCAGAGAGCGGTCAATATAAGCGATGGGGAGGAAGAGGAGGAGGAGGAGGGTTTACATTCTAACTCACAGGCAGAAGGAGCAAAGACAGGAACATCATACGCTTCAGCTACCTCTCTGTAACAGAAAAAAACACCACCTCAGTGACAGAACATAAACAACATGCAAACGTGAGTCACCATGTTTTCCACCAGTGAGAGGGCAACAGAAACACGGATTGAAGAACACAGGGAGATATGACGGGAAAGGTTAAAAATAACTCAAATAAAAAGGGTTATTGCTGTAGTGAGTTAAAAGCTGCATGGCACAACAACGTAACACTTTGATAGAAAAACAAGCTCCTGCTGATCTGATGCTCTTCTTGACTAATACTGGGCAGCAAAGTTGGCACATATGGGTATTTAAGGAGGATTTCTTTTTAAAAATTGATCTTTTCAAGAGTTAAAATCATATAGCAATACTATGTCAGTGTACACAGGCAAGGTAAATGTTACAATACAGTATGGATATGCAGCTATCTGTAGCTGGAGTTAAACTAGCAGCGAAACAACACATACAATTGCATATAATCGTAGTGCAATGGGCTAAACTGTTCTTAGAGGGTTGTCTCATTTTGGTCTGGTCAGTAACAAAAGAAATCAGTCAGGCTACTGAAAAAACTGAAAAAAAAAATGGTCCAGAAAGACCAAATCCAACCAGTTTGCTAAACTATCATTTTTAAATCAGCTAATTTTGGCATTCGTCAAGAAAAAAATCACAGTTTCTTGATTCTGTATTTTGGAAGATTTTGGCAAAACCTGGGCAGGATTTGAGTCCTTGTGGACATTAGGTTTGTTCAGCGAGTCAAAACTCTCTAAAAAAAACATTTCAGACACAAACACCACAAGCTACATCTCCAACAGACTTCCTCTTCAAACATACACAACACCTCTTCTACACACTCCTGCCCAGACACTTTCCAGACGTTCCACCCCGCTGAACATGACCGGTTTGAAATCTGAACAAGATGAAAAAAACTAAAAGTGTGTTTTGTTCTTCCAGCCGTGCAGGGCCATGCCACACTGAGCCCGCTCTAGGCGAAGCTGTTCTCTGGGTAGCTGACTTTGATAGCGCCCCAGTAGCAGGCTCGTATCAGACAGATGAGGCCCAGCAGGTAGGCGAATGCCCAAGATACATAGGTGGCGTTGTAACGACTGGCAAAGCCCCGAGTACCAACCTGTTAACACAGAGGAGAGGAAGAGAAGGCGGGTGAGAAATGAACACCAAGAAGGTTGTTTCATAGACGTCCATCTTGCAGAGAGACATTTAAAAAATAATACTTTACTCTTTCAGGTGTAAACTCCTGTGGTAAGAACTCTGGTTGAGGGATCCATAAGTTAATTCATAATATATCAGTATCAATATCAGTCAGTGATCCACTTTATCAGAAAAATGCAAACAAACTGCAACAACCTCAATAACCCTGAATCTAAATATTAAGGAGTAATCTCATAAGATCATATAAAGTGATTATGATTTTAGTACAATTAAACCATGTTGTGAAAGATGTTACTATGATATGTTACTATGATATGTTACTATGATATGTTACTATGATATACTGTGAAAACAACATGTGGCTGTTGTTTACTGAACAGTCCCATGCCCTAATGATCCAAAGTGTATTTGATGTACTGTAGGATTATGCACTCATGGCAATGTAGCTAGTGGCTGCCTCTGTAGCCTATGAGGAAGGTAATGTCTGCCCATCACTCGGCCCACCACCAAAGCACCAACTGGCTTAAGTACAGCCTCACAGAGCTGCTAGCATGACTGTAAAAAACCTTCTCAAGACTCCCTCTTCTACACTTGCTTTGCCTGTTTGATATTCCCTGCTTTCATTGTGAAGCGCTTTGTAACTTTTGTTTTGAAAAGTAAATCTTACTTACTTTGAAATAATACAATCCAGACAAAGACAGTACTTACTGTTAAACCCACTCCAATGAAAATGCAGATCATTCCTATAGTTATATAAGCACAACAGCGCCTCCTAGGCAGCGCACTGCCAACAGAGGATCTGCAGGAAGAGAATAAGAAAAAAGCAAAAAACAGAAAAAATCTTAGTGTCTGGTTTCAGGGCAGAAAGACATAAATATTTAAAAGATATTAGAGATATTTTATGTTTTGTTTGTCCTGTTTTGAGAGAAACAACCGTGAAACCACTGTATGAGTTCAAATACTCTAATCTAATCTCACCCAAATAAACTAGATTTCGAAAATCATGGACTCATTTTGCGTTGTGGCTGAAATGGTTTGCATGATGATGTGTCTCATACTTTCTTTGTCCCACCCTTTTACCCAGTGATTTCACTCAACAGTCCTGTGAGTCAAAAATCTCTCTCTTCCTCTTTATAAGTTACACACGAAAGCGCCGGAGGCAGGTCACATGTGCGGCACCCAACGACTTCAGACTCATGTCATGTAAACTGCCCTGAGGCACCAGACTGGCATCAGTTTTTTTTCTTACTTCACTATTACTTTACTTTCCTCCCCCTCTCGGCTCTCACATGCCTCTCATGTGACGGGACTCAAGCATTCTTCAGGAATCACTGGTATTCAGATGGCTTAGGGGAGCCCGATCACCTGATTTCTTACCTTTGAATACTCCTTCTTAAACAATCTCTTCCTGCTGTCACGTTCCGCTTTGTTCAACTCACTGCGTTTACATTTGTACCGCCTGACCGTCTCATTCATTTGACCTGCGACCATATATGGAGCAGTTTTTTTTTTAAGCTGCCAGAGGTGCCCTGAACATCACTTGCAAAACAAGAATTATTATTATAGACTGGAACAGCCTTACAACAACACAAGATTTCCTCTGAGATGTTGCTACTATACTAATAGGTATCAGTTCCTTATAGCATTCCCAGACTTTTTCAACGTCAACGACACCCCAAATAGACGCACATTCTCATTGTTAGGTGTGAAGAAACGTCTTTAGAGTCAATAAATGTAGAATGACTATAAATTACAGTCAAAACTGAAAACCTTATTTGTTTCCTTTTTGTTCCAATTTTGCATGAATGGCATAAAGGTTTAAATATTCTATTCCCTCTTTTGCTGGGGACCCATTGCAACACTTTCAAGGACCCCCATTGGTCCCCAGACCAAGGTTTGAAAACCACACATTTAGGTAAAATCACATGACTTTGTGTAACTTCAGCTACCACTGTTCTGACTTCTGTAAAAGAATTTGGGGGAAAATACGGATAGAAAGAAAAAGATGGAAGATAAAGATAGAAATAGAGAGTCAAAGATTACTACCACTACCATTAGAAACCAATTGAATGGTTTAATGGACTACAGGCTTTGTTTGTAACATGGTTTAGGTGGAATACCAAGTCCAATGTGGGTTTTATTGCTCATTATATGACGACTCAAGGACTTCATCTCTGGGTAGATTATCATAAAAGACTGTTTACGATGTAACATTTTAACTTGGAGGTATGTTCTTTTATGACAGATGTTGTTTCACCACTGCAGCGATAAATTTGGTGACGTATAAGTTCACGGTGGCTGGGAGAAAAACCAGAAACAGAGGCAGAAATACTGGGAAAGATGGCAGAAGAGGCACAGAGCGAGACAGACATAAGACAGACAGAAAAGACAGAAACAAAGATAAGAGTCAGAGATAAAGGCAAAGACAGCATGTTGGAGGTGGTGTGGATATCATCACTTTCAGACACACCTTTCCATACCCTCCCACCACCCCTCGACCCAGTGCCCTTCCATTACCATTACATGTATTAAGGCCAGGCTCTAATTCCTGTCACACGTCTAGATTAGCCTCCGTTGCCTCCCCTCCCCTCCCCTCTCCTTCCAAGAACTACAAAGTCCAGGCCTCCAAAGCTCAGCCAACATCTGACTACAATGAATTTATCCATAAAGCAAGCACTTCTTTAAAAGCTTCTCTAGCAACGAGAGCCAGAGAGCTGAAAGTGTTTACATCTAAACTGTATCAAACCAAACCACAAAGCTACGTGGTTGAGATTTGATTCAAATGCAGAAGTCATCTTTTTTTTTTACTACAAGACTTACGTGTTTTAATACATGCTGCTTCCTCTAATGTTTAGTATGCCTTTGTGGTAAATGATTGCTCCAGTAGGATTAATATATTGGCTTTAAAGCTAGATATGTTTGTGCATGTTCACCTTAATTTGACAGGTCATATCCATTCAACACTTTGTGGTGCAGCAAGTCCTCTCATAAAGCTACAGTGACATCACATGAGTATTTTTTTAGTGTATGGCTTACACCCACTCAGTAACACCAGTAAGGCTGTAGTTTATTAAGGCCTTTAAAGACCACATCCGTAATTAGCATGTTTTCATTTTCTGCAAATCACAATTACCCATTTATAAATTCTGGCTTCCATTTATTTCTGTACAATATGAAAATAAAGTTCCTGACACAGTGAAGATCGTGTCTGCATTAATATTTGTTAAAAGTTACATTATAGCTATGAGCCAATTTGCTATAAACATTTCAAATCAATCTTAAACTGTAAAACCAGGCAACAATAATGTAACTTTGACAAAAATCAGTGCAGGTTTGACGAGGGGATTATACACTGGAGCAAGTTTAAAATTCTGCTGAATGATTTTTACAGAGATGAAATAGAAACATAAAGAAATAGCAGCCTGCAACAGTAAGAAAAAATCCCCCAAAAAATGAATGGTAAGACTTGAAAAAACACAAAAGAGAAGCTAACGACTGAAATATAAATCCTAAGGCAGATAATATTTACACTTCACAGCAGCAGTAGAAGCAACTGTGAACTGTAAGTGGACATCAGGTGTGAGAGTAAACTGTGTGTTTTAATGTGACCTTTGAGTTAAATGGAGGATTGATGGACTCACATTTTTTTGCAGTGGGGACACTTGGCTAGTGTGTTAAACCGAAGCTCCATCCACTGTGAGGAAACAGAAGAAGAAGCACTGTTAGCACACTGTAACAAAACACTACAACTACTGTACTTCTAGATAAATCAACTAAGACTGACTAGGACTGATTTTACATGATCGGTTTGTAACTTCTATATCTATTATTTCTGTATTGGAGAAAATCCTAAAAGGTTTGTTAAATTATCACCTAAAATTATTCTTATAATATAGTAGTTAGTGTCTTTATGTTAAGAAAAAGCAATGTTATAAAAAGATTTCACAGATCAGAATTTAAGAATCTATTAACACAAGTTTAATATGTGACTTTTAACATCTGGCTTCAGAGGAGGAATAGAAAATTCAACAGAAGCTGTTTCCAAAGCAAATTCAGGCCAAACCATCTTGATTTAGGCTGATTTTATCTGCAGATCTCTTTAACTGAAGCTCTCTTCAAAGCCAGATACGTACAAAGTCATATTATCACCAGTGTAAATAAGGCTGCAGATTGAACTGGAGCAGGTTAGGCTGTTGTTAATATGTCCACCAGTATGGCCAGCTTTCTCAACCTGTTGTTGTGCTGGGGGAGAGCCATCGCTGGGGAGGCCAGACATTGGCTGGGATGACCTGGCGTCCTCACTGCCCTACAGACGCCGCAAGCAACAACGTGCACACGTTAAGAGGACAATACCGCTGATTTTGACATGCGAGTCGGTGTCATACTGACTCAACACCTCAGGTTCATGTAGTATGATAAAAAAAGGATTTAAACCTCCATGAAGGTGAGCATGTTGCATGTCAAAAATACTGAGAGTATCATCAACACGGGCTGCAGGAGAATCTGTGAAAGGCTGCAACCACACTGCAATCAAGTGGGACTTTTTAATGAGCCAGGCAAGGAAAGGAAAACATGCAGCAAATTCCAGCTACTTGTAAAACATATCTTGTATCTGCAACTGGATGGAGGTTTTCATTTCAACAAGGATGAAAGATCAACAGGAGAAGAATATGTCATTAGCTCTCGTGGACTAACTTGAATAAAGGCTATCCTCCAGTACAACAAACTATACCACCCAGAACAACTTGTAGAAAATCCTCTACTTCCATCACCAGATACTGAAGAACACACTGTAGTTTGGCTCTCAAGATTATTAATATGCACATACCAACAACAGCACAGCAACACAATTCTGCATGAGCAACTCTGTGATTGGTCAGATTGGTTTTCTTGGGGGGTTTACGTACTAGGAAGGTGTTTCCACAGTGACCGCAGACCACCCTCAACCCCTCAGGTTGGATGGGCAGTGCCGGCTGGGCGGGTTGCTCCTCAGGGATTACCATCACCGGGCTCAGGTTGATAATGCGTCTACTGTCGGGGGAAGAAAGAGTAGGACAAGCTTATGATTACGACCTACTCGAGACAAGATTTTGAAACTTTTTGATGACGTAAAACTATAGAAAGGGCATTTCTTGTCTTATACAAGTTGACTTTCTTTGTGCCAACATTTTGTCAGAGCCTTAAATTTGGCTTTGAAAAAGAAATAACAAATGGGAAGTAAGAGTGTAATACAGACTGAACTCGACTGTCTGCTACCTACCAGTTTGGTCGAGGACATCCTATCCTCCTGGACGAGTCTTTACAGATGAGCAGGCAGTTACAGGGACACCTCACATATTTCTTCCCTGTTGGGGGGTTCTTGATGGGCTGGAAGGTAACATATAAAAATCAGCTCAGTGGAAACAATCAGTTTAATACAAAACACAAAGCCATAAAAGAAGAGAGCAGCTGATTCAATACTTTAGCTGTAACATAGCGGAGCTTTTTATACAGAACAGGGTGGAAAAAGTGCCAAATGAAATTCATATTAGTCCACTCATCAGCTTCAAATGTCCTTGTTATAGGTCATCTGAGTAGCATTCATAAAGGGAAATGTTTAATTTATGCAGAGAAGTTGATCACAGGATGCCAGATTTACCTCTCTCCAGTTTTATATTTATTTCAGGTGAACCTGAGCTTAAACAAGATGCAACAACTGAAGGCCAAACACTATAAACTGTGCACTGTTTTTGATCCAGTGTGACAGAATATCATCATTGATGCATCGTTGATGCATGAGCACCACAAACATCTGCAAGTGGAAATGGAATTTCCCACCCGAGTGTCTCTGATGACAGCCATTCATTCTCCCCTCCCGGCACTGACAGCTCTATCAAAGCTTTCGGTTACAGGCCAGTCATATGGAGCACTTATCCCTGGACTGACTCATCAATCTGGCAGATGTCCACATCTGGTAAGGTTTTTTCTCTGGATCACTTGACAAATTCCATGTTTTATCACACAAAATGATGCTGCAGAAGTAGGCACAAAGCTACAGCTGGATGTGACTTTCACACTAAAAAAGCATGTGTGATTACCAAAAGGGATGAACCGTGAACTGATCATAAAGAAACATAAGAGGAGAGCAGCAATGAGCATGCTCAATGTTTTTGCTCAACTCGACAGCTTGAACTGCTACAACTCTGTGATGTCAACACCGCCAATCGTTTATAAAGCCCTCACCGGCCTCTGCGATGGCCTCCACTTACTGTAGCTTCATTGCAGACTGTGCACTTGACCACGTGCTGATGCAGCTTCCCATCCAGGTTGATAAGCGACTGGCATACGCGGCAGTTGATGACAGGCACACCGCCGGCGTCTGGGCTGGCGATGGCTGTGTAAGGAGGAGGTAGTTCGGCTTTGAGAAGAGGAGGGCAAAGCACACAACACACGGCCAGCTGTTAATCGCATGCATCTATAAAACTTCATGAACAAACCTGGACCTGGATCATGGACAGACAGGAACACAGTAACATCTGGAGGTTTGCTTCATTGCTGTCAGAATGTGTCTGTTGTTTTACCCATCGACAGTAGTTTTTCCACTAAAATGAATCTCTCTCTTATATGAGGAGGTTTTTAACAGCTCTAAACAGTTCTTATTATTCTGTACAGTTCAAAAACATGAATCCAGAGCCCTCAGGAACATATATTGATCTTTGTTTTAGTCTTTGAGTTCCCTAAATTAAAATCAGTTTCAGTTTTTGTTGTTATCACACATCCACAAAAGGATAAATCAACACAGATTATAACAGAGGAAATTGTTTAGACCAACATAACTACAAAAGATTACTTAGTATATCCCTGTAGATTAGTAAATATTATGTATGTATGTAAAATAAAGTATGTGCAGTGATAGTGGAAGAGATTTTTAATTGTTTTAGGAGATAGCACATATAACATTTCTTGATTAATTCATCTCACTTAACTGGGCGAAGAAAGCCACTAGATGCAGCTGAAAGCTCTGAAAGACAGCTACAGTAGTAAGTGGTCCTTAAGTTAAGTTATTTTTCAAGATCAAGAACAAACCTCCAAACTCAACGTGTTGTGGATCGTGTTGGGACTTTGTCACATTATACACTAACCAGTGTAATGTGAATAATGACTGAATTAAATAAACCCATTCATTAACACACAACAACATCTTATCTCTGACGAAGGTCTAACAGACCAAAACAAAGTCATGAACTGTTTTTGAACAACTACTCTGATCAGTCAATGAGTCATTATCCAAACGATTGCTGGTTCCAGCTCCTAAAATGTGACAATCTTTGTCATTTTCAGATCTGGAAAACTGTGAGTTAACTATTTTATGACAATTTATAAATGGAACAAATTATCAATTTTGTGTTGATATAATAATGAAAATAACTGCTAGCTGAAGCCCTTATTGTATGCTTTAAACATATAGGCTACACAAACTAAATCTGATACATACCAAAACAACCTGTAGTTACGGAAAGGAATTGTTGTCTAATATGACAATTCTCTCCACTAAGAGTATTTTTCAGGGCTTATTTTTCTCAAAAAAAAGTTCATGACACACAAATGTTATTCAATGACTCCCTTAGTACTACAGCCTATTGTATGGTAGGTCCTGTAAAACACTCCTGCACATACTGTAAGCAAACCCATGACAGTGCTTGTACAGCTCTGATTGCTCAACATGTGACTCTTCTCTCTTTGTCAGGGGTCGAGCAGCACGCTGTATGTACCCCTGTAAGAAAGTAACAATGGGCCCTTGTGATGTGATGGCATAAAACCCTCTCACCCTCAAAAGCACTTCATGTCTTATAGTATCCAACTGTTTGTGACTTTAAAGAAACAGATGTAACATCTACCAATAAAATCAACATGGGGGCTTTTTTAGACTTCGGTACATTAGTTGGATGGACAGCTTAATTAAAATGTCTCTGCTAATGAGGCTAATAACTATTCTGGTTGAGAAACGAAGAAAAGCCCGGCCACTGATTAGTGTTTTATAGTCCCTAAACAAGTTTAATCAACATGATCAAATGGTCAGCCTTCACAGACTTAAAGATTTTCTCTTAATGTCTGAAAGAACTACTGTGAACTAACTACAGTTCAAATGAACTCTGTACTGGTTAATCCCACATTAACCTCGTATAATTAGTCTACATTCCATGTGTTTTTCAAGGTTTTAATACACGTAATCCATAGATTTGCACCAGTCACTACCTTTACTACTACTGTAGTACTCAAGCATACTTTACAATCCGTTTGATACCATGACAACGATCTTAAATCTCCATCAAACCACTTTACCACTGTAAACCACTGACCGTCGACATTGAATTAATTTAGACATTTGTTTTTAGAATTTGTTCCTTAAACAAAATAAATATACAAATACATTTAAGAAAGCAGAACAATAACTGGACAAAACGCTTTTTTATTTAGAAAACAGCATCAAATCAAAACTTCTAATAATTCAATTGAATTCAAAACCAAAGTCATATAAAATGTGTCTGCAATTACATTACCTACTACTACTACTACTACTACCTACATTCTTCACATTTGTAAGCTAAGAACTGATTTACTACACGGCTCAGGCAGCAATGGGGCAAATGTTAAGCTGAGAGGATTTGTCAATCGACAGAAAACTAATCTGCAACAATTTTCTAAAGTCGAAAAAGTAAAAAAATTCCATTTTGTTTGTCTTGACTGGAAACTAAAGATCTCTGGGTACTGGACTGGTTGTTGCGCACGATATCAACCTGGGCTTAGGGAAAGTGTGACTGACATCGTATATCTAATAGATACGTACGGTTATACGATTAATTGATAAAATGATCGACAATTGATAATGGAAATAATCATTTGTTGTAGCCACAGACGAATGACCAATACAGTATAACCCAGTCTCTTGTGATACATTATGGAGCCCAGTCCACTGACCAAACACAAAGGAGGCATCTAATCCGACAAACGAACACTTTCTTTCTCTGAATGAGATAATGGGATGAGTCAATAGGTAAACGAGCTTGGCTCTGAGAGTCAGAGACCTTCAACCGGTCGACACCACAGGGACAGATGGGACACCCCGTCAACAACCTCGAAATACAACCAAAGCATGCCAAAGCCTGGAGCAGCACACGGTGGTGCTTATTACACACGCAAAAAACATTTTCTATTAAATGTAGTACATTAAAAATCAGTAGTCTCTCTTCTTAAACTTGAGTGTAAAATAAAATCCTTATATTCAAGCAGCACTTCTATCTATTCAGTCTTAGCAGAGGCATGTTTCTACTCGCTGCTCTCTCACTGTGTGCACTGAAGCTGTCCTAATGCATGTCTGAAACTGAATATAGCAGCTATACGTTTCCACTGTCACTGTCCTCGGAGCTGAGAAGAGGTAATACGAGAAGACACTCTACTACAACCAGCAGCACCACACAACACTCAGCCAGCATCACCTCCGGCCGAGCTGGTGCCATCGCTGACCGGGTGATTATGGGATTGTGGTTTGTGGTGAGGAATGGCGAAGTGAGCGGCTGGTATGTAGACGAGCTGCTTGGGGATGTTTCCTGTTGCTCATGTGGTATGAAATAAGGGTGATGGGTGAAAGATAATGCTGGTTCTATATTTTACTTGTCGTCAAAAAATCCCATCACGAATCAGTACTTTCTGCCTGTACTAAAGATGTAAACTGTAAAAAAAAAAAAAAAACAGGCTACAAAGTTTCATGTTGAAAGAATTCCTAAAACAGCTGGGCACTGTAGTTTCTAGCAAACGTTACATTAACAAGAGTAAATTGTTTATTTGTCGGGGACTACTTTCATTAGTGGATTAATACACATTGTTATTACACATGTTTGACTTTTTACACTCTGATAATAAGCATGAAGCAAACATTTGATCGACCATTCGTCGTTGCCTGAGCTACATCAGATGCTGGTGGCTTTTGTCTCGTGGTCATTTCAGTTTCTATATGACGGCGTATGTGGCCTTTGTGCTGCTCTTTTTCTTGGAAGGTTTTTTAAACCACTTCCGCACAACTACACCGCTTTCAGCCATGTGTGTAATCATGACGTATATAAATATAATATACAATGAAACTTACATTGTTGATATCGTGATAAGCCAAATTCTAATCATTGTTGACATTCTTGTCTGGTACAATATGATATAATAGCACAGCTCTACAGTGAGGAGTATTCGGCAGCAGGACGGTTCATGTGCAACTGATTCAAAATAAATTACAGCATCCATGTTGACTGTAATGGAGGAAAATGTCTCCCAGTGCAACAGTGTGGCTCACTGATGTGTTTTAACAGTTTCCAATTGAGCTCTATGGCACAGAGGAATAAGCTTTATCAGACATATGCTGCCAAGTCTTTTTATTGGATTTGTAGACAGTAAGAAAAATACACATTATTCTACATAGTTACCCTGGATGACTAGTAGGGCTGTGAATTGGCAAGAATCTGGCGATACGATACACATGGAGATACAGGGGTATAATTCGGTATACTGCGATACAGTAAGCAAGGCGATATAACACCATATGCATTGAATCTGACAAAAAAAAGCAGATCGCAGCTCCCTCATTTCACCCTCCCATCCCCAGAACGAAGGTGAAACTACAGTCGCCACAAAAAAACGTGAACAGTCCAATCTACAGCCTGTGTTTGGTTTGTCCTTTCTGGGCTACTGTAGAAACATGGGGGCTCAAAATGGCTGATATTCATGGAAGGCGACTCGTGGCGTTTGTAGATAGAAAAAGCTCATTCTGAGGTAAAAAAAAACAAGCATATTATATTCCATTCCTGACAATAGATCCTTCTAAATGTTACACACTGGCCCTTTACCATCTTTATCTTTAACACTGTGTCTCTGAATAATATAAAACTGAAGATTAAAACACTGTCACAAGCTTTTATTGCAGTCAATTTGTTCTGCAATTCAGGCGCAAAACCATCAAGTGAGTGGCAACCAAACGATGCACTGTGAGGTATCTCTGACCATTCAGATGCTGCCAAGGTCATTGGTCTCCGCCCCTCACCGCCACCAAACACACTGTGAACACTGGAGGAACATACAGTGAACCTCTACCTGTTACAGCTGAATAAAAACTGCCTGTTGTGTCAGATTGTTAAGATATTTGAAATCAATACAGAAGAGAATTAACAAATAAAGTCTTTTACTTCTAATCCCAGCTCACATTCGCTCCTAAATCCAGCTGATTATTAGTGACCACCTCAGTTTTGGCATCTTTGACTCAAATTAATCCACCTTACAAATTAGCTGATGGAGTACTGTACCCCAACAGAGAAATCAGAATTAGCCATAATCCAGACTGCAGAGAGGGAGGAGAAACTAGGACATGAAATATAGTGACGTTCATTTAGGCTTTCAATCCAAACAGACAGTATACAGGTCATTACAGTCCAGGGTTAAAGTCTTTATGAATAATCCGGTGGTGAAATATGAATTCTGTAAGATTAAACCAGCTTCAGAACAACAAAATGTTCATTTCTCATCATGTCCTCACTTGATATTAGCCGTTTGTCCTGAATTACTCCGAAAAGAGTATTACACGGTCAATGAATCCATTCATTTGCAGCAGAACAACCAGTGTTGTGCCAAGGCAAAGAACAGAAAAAGCTACAATCAGAGGAAACTTTGTCCACATCGTCTGTAGCTAAATTTACTTTTGATTTTACTGTTTAATTAGATTTGAAAAGAGCTGAAACAAGACTTAAAGCAAAACCTAATTCTTTAATTTGAGAGTCTGATCAGGGTGTTGTTTTTTTGTAGAAAGAGGGAACTTTTCTCAAGTAAAAGCCTCTAGCAGAAAGAAACAGCATGTGTGATCATGCATGTTTCCAGCTTCAGAGCACAATTTGATCCTCTTCTTTAATTTGAGAGTCTGATCAGGGTGTTGTTGTTTTCCTACAGAAATACAGAATGTGATCAGACAAAAATTCAGTGCAAAGGCCAGTCCTGACAGCGGCTCCTAGACGGAAGTGACAGAGGACTTATGAGCTGTAATTGCCTGGGTCATCAGCCCCCTCTTGCATGCATCATGGTACTGTAGCCTACATTCAGCTGTTTACTAAGCAAAACGTGGACACTGTGTCAGTCTCCTGGCTGTGGACATATGTTTTTGTGCTGTAATTGAAGATGCACCGCACACAAGAACAGACATCCAAGCTGCCTCTGTAAGATCAAGGCCACACATTGGATGTTTACAGTCACACAAATGAGCAAACTGACAGCTGGATGTAACATTTAAATCATGGCGTGCTATTGATTTGGGCCCCATCCATTAAAAAAAGAGGGGGGGCACATCTGGGCAATTTGTCGATCTGCAGCTGGGACAAAAGGCTGCCTTCATCTGCAATGTGTCATTCCTCTCCCGTCAGTCAACAACATTAAAAGCCCAATATCCAATGAGGCCTCCCACATCACGACTCCTATCTTTTTTCTTTTCTTTTTTGGGTTGAGACACAAAACATCACAGGCCCCAGTAGGTCGTGATGTAAGCAAATTTCTGGAATAAAAACAAGAGCTTGCTGTTATTATAGGCCCTTCTCCTCTAACCCACTGCTCCAGTTCTCATAGTGAAAGCTCCACCTTTTCCCTCCGCTGCCGACTGACTGCCCCTTGCATTGCATTGCTGCAGTTTTATTTACGCACAAACTCGATACGCCCAAAAATGATTCAGCATGCAGGCAAGGCAAGGCAAGGCAAGGCAGGGTCTACATATCGTGTGTTTACCTCGGGGACTTGAATCTTGCAGGTACGGGGGAGCGGTGGGGGTCACATTCTCGGAGTTGGGGCCCGACAGCAGCGGAGATCGCTCGTCCATGCCGTCGGAGGCCATGTCGTTAACCGTGAGAAATATCGGGCAGAGGCGGCGGCGGCGGGAAGGCTCCTGGCTGCACCGAGTCTTCACTCAGCACGGAGGAGCAGCCGGCGGCTGGTTGTTGGTGCCGAGTCGCTCCGGTCCAGCAGCCCCGGTGGGTGACGGCAGCCTGGAGGAGGAGGAGCTCCGCGGTGATCCCCGCCCCCCTCTCACTGATATGACCCGGGGCATGGGTAGTGCTGTTAAGACTATATGGAGCTGTGTGCTGCACACATTGGAGACTGTGATGGAATTTTATGTGAAAAAAAAACATGTGAGTGTAATTTAATGTTATGGTGCACAGGTTTATTTGGATTGTATCCCATATTTTTGTTTATAAATAACAATATAAAATGTCCTGCTTGGACCCTGAGCAAGTAGATACGATTTCAGTGTTTTTAATGATGAAGGTACACAGTGGTAAATCAATAAAGCAGCGATTTCCAGTTTTCACCACTAGATGTCACTATTTAACTACTGAGGTCCACGTCTGTGCAGCAGTCCGTAAGTATTTAGACCATAATGTTTTATTTAGACTAATCTGTGTGACTTGTGACCCCTTAAACAAAGATATGTCCACTCACAACAACGCAAGACAAGTTGCACATGTCACTGGGTTGTATTTCTTCATTCGAATAGTTTTACTTATATCCTATTCTACTAAATATCATATACATATAATATCAAATACATATACAGTATAATAAGTAAAGGTTTAAGTCAGAAGCATATGATTTTCTGTTGCAGAAATATGTGTTTTCTCCCCTTTTATCTCCTCACAGCCCCTCAGATTTAACTTGCAACCCTTTGGCTGACAGGAACCACAGTCATGGTAGTTAGTATGTAGTTAAATATTGAGCTGTTTACTGCAGCACACTGGATTTGAAATGAAATAATGAAGTGCAACCTTATAGCTTGAGGGTGTTCACAAATATACAAAAGCATTTTGTCAGCTCAGATATAAAGCAACTGTTTCAGGATTGATTGGACAACAGATATTCTGACACCTTTTTTAAAAACTGTTTTGATGGCCAACAGTTGGCTGGATGTGTTGAACACCAGACTGAAGGTTAAAAAAAACCTGAAAAACAAGGAGTGAAGACGGCTGCATGACCAATGGATGAAAGATGTCTGTGGGTGAAACATAATGCCTTCATGTAAATTCATGTTCTGTCCCCCTACATGGTTCATCTGATATGTAGATTAGTTTATTTTCATGACAGTGGTGTTAGACGCTGACTGTTTTTTCCTGTCATTCTGTCTCCATATTGTAATTTACTACTGCTGTCCACTCTGTAACATCGTGTCTTTCCATCCTGGCAGAGAGATTCCTCCGTCTTCCCAATTAAAGAGGTTTTTTTTCCAACTCAAGGGTCTAAAAACATATGTTGTACATGTTGTAAAGCCCTCTGTTTGATTTGTGAATGTAATGAGCTTTAGTGGAATAACAGTTCAGGAACCATGATGCCAAAGCAATTACATATAATTCACACTACTGATAATTATGAGATCTGTGTGCGTTTTATGGCTTTTTATGTGTTTATGTCCATTAATGTTGTCATCATACTGCTGTGGGGCGTGTTTTCTTTATGTTCTGTTACAGTGTGTCTGATGTGTTGAAGTTGTGTCAGTGTAATCAGAACACAATAAATGTTTAAATCAGACCACACAGTAAATGTGACCGGATTTATTTCACTATTGAGTCAAAAAATGTGGTTTGGGATGGTTTGAGAGTCATTAATAGGACCTGTAAACAACATCTGGCTGCCACCAGCTGTAGACCTAAGTGCCTCTGTGGACAGCACTGCAGCGTGATCTTACAACATTTCACTGCATAAATAATGTTTATGATTTACAGTTAGTCCTGACATACATTTTATGTGTGCCTCATGTCCATTCTTCCCCTGAAATTACAACACCCTTGACTGTTTGTGCCAAAATATGTCTCCCATTCCTTGTTGCTTATGTCAGGGTGTAAGCCTCTGGCCCTATGATGTCAATCCCTGGCCATTAAAAAGACTCACTAAATAAAGACATATCATCAATCGTAAGTTCCTCCAAAATTTGGGTACATTTTAAAACTTTTGTGTTTGTTCCTAAAAAAAAGCAAATGTAACTAGATGTTTATGGGTATATCTGAACTGGCAACCAGCTGTGATTACATGTTGTTTTGCACATTTTGAGTTTAAAATTGGGCCAAAATCAGGGCTGGCTGGTCCTGTTTAGGACACATTGTAAAACGACTCATAAATTCCAGGAGCATCCCACCCCCAGCTCCATTCACAGACCCACTGACTTGTAGTCTTTAGAGGAACAAAAAGCAAAAGACCACATTGTTAAGTAGGAATAAATTACAGAAAATCCCAGCAGCTCTCTGTTTCCAGCATGTGTGTTTGGTGTTTGTAAAATCAGGAGACAATCATAGCCAGACTACAAGTGCATTTAACCTTCTTTGGGGTAAGTTTCCTTTAATTACTCCATCATAGACTCTGACGGAAAATCCTTTCTCCTGGCTCTGCTGTTACCGGGCCAGTAAATAGTGATTCAGATCGCATGTAACAGGCTGCAGCCGACGACTCATTTTTTCCGACGACTTCAGGCACCAGAGGAGCGTCGCAGCACTCTCTCACTGCTTCGTCGCTGGGGTTTCTTTGCAAGGTAAGAGACGTGTTACAATCACAATGTGGACAAAATAAAGCAGTTTTAATGAGGAAAAATGTTTGTATGAGTTAAGGTTGCGGATTAGTTGTGGTGCTTCGTTATTTTTTATTTTTTTTAACTTCTGCTGGAGAACCATGAAGCTACCAAACTGAGAGTTACGCTTCCGGATATAATGTAAGAAGTAAAACATACATCTGTGCTGCAGCCTTTTGGAGATGTGTTACTGTACCGAAAAAAATAATGTTCTTGAAGGTAAATTATATGTCAGCTTTTAGTCTGAATAGACTGTATTTAATTATTCTTCTATTTATTAAATGTAGCATAATGTGTACTTTTATTTTGAAGGATAATTCTACAATACATTTTGCCATTTTTGTCAGTTTCATGTGAATGAAAAGTCTCATTGTTATTCTTAAATTAATGATGGAAGAAGTATTCAGATATTTTTAAGTAAAACAACCTGCAGCGTAAAATACTTACTATAGTAAAAGTTCTTCATTCAAAAGTAAAAATACAGAATTACATCAGAAAATGCACTTAAAGTATTAAAGTAAATTTGTTTTGCTCATATGAGTGATATGTTATTATATAAGATATTATTAGATTGTTATTACTGGTGCAGCTATGCATTTTACTGCAATGTGCGGACTATACCTTGGCTTTCAGGGAAGCTAATTTTTTTGTATTTTTTTTTGCACTGTAGTTGCACATAAACATTCATAGCTGCAATCATGTAGGCCTACTGGCTTTATATCAGCACATCTGATATTTACTAATCAATAATAGCCTAATTTTACACATGATATATGATGATAAAGATACAGGAAAACTATAAATACATGGGGAAAATAGCATATTTTCAATATTTTAGAGACCCTCCAACATTTTCCACGGGACCTTATGTCTTTTTGAGAGGAGCCAAACTCCCCCTGGCTCCCCTGTAGTTCGCACCCTGTTTTACTGTTGTGTTAACAAATTACTGTGGAACTAACAGCTCATAGACGTCTGAAACAGCACAAAGTAAAGGAAACCACTGGTTTAATCTTCAACAATGAAGACAACAAACAGCGTTTTTATGTAAAATCTTAATATATTATTATTATATAGTAATTATATCTGTCAAATAAATGTAGTGAAGTAAAAAGAACAATATTTATTTTTGAAAATGTATAAAATATGTAAGGACAAAGTAGAAATATTCAAGTAAAATACAAGTATTTCAAAATAACTCCATTCCTCCTCGACATGCACATTCGTCTGTCCACTAGTTGCATGGGACTCTGCATATTTGGATGATTTTATCATCGTGACTCACTAAAAGTGTCTGTTTTGTTTTGTTGAGAGGAAAGAGAAGACGTGTTGTTAGAATTAAACAATAGTTGTGTTACAGTACAGTTACCGCAGTGGAAAAAATATTTAGTGGATAAGTGTCTGTCATGATGCCAACAAATTTCCTTTCCAGTCATTACAGCTGTGTGTGTGTGTGTGTGTGTGTGTGTGTGTGTGTGTGTGTGTGTGTGTGTGTGTGTGTTTCAGCCAGTTTGGACATGCTCCAGGGGGCAGTGAGCAGGGCTGTGCTCTGCCTCCTGTTGGGGGTCTGCTTCCCAGCAGAGGGTGCAGGGGCGGCAGAGCCTCTTCCTACTTTTCCCCCTGAACAAGTGTCTGGGGAACCAGACCTTGAGGATCTGGAGTGGGGCTCTGGATCATCTCTTCTACACCTGCTTCACAGCTTCCCTGCTGATAGCCCCTTCATAACAGAGACCCCAGGAAAACCAGTCAACTGCACCCAGCGCTTCTGGTTACCGCCATCCCCTGCAATCTGCTGGGAGAACATAGCCGGACCCGAAGAGTTTGCCAGGTCCCGGCTGCTCGTTCTCCAGAACAGGGCTGCCCTGCAGGCTGTGTCCACCTCCAGCGGTGTGGAGGAGGGAGGGAGCTCCTATGAACACCAAGCCAGAGAGGAGGTGGAGGGGATCCACTCAGACCACCTGAGTGTGGTGGAAACTATGCAGACCATGGAGAAGGTGTTTGTCTCTCTGGCGGAAAAGAGGAGAGAAGGAACAGAGCAGGGGCTCCTCACAAGGTGAGAAGCAGGGACTGTATGAAGTTGATTGGGGTGGGGGATCTTATCATTTATTTTAGAAAAAAGCAAGACCCTTGCAGTGTTAATAGCATTTTCTTTGGACCCTCTCTTTGACTTAAAAAACTAACCTGATATATTTTTGAGAAATGAAATGGTGAAACAGCCAATATCCATTTGTGAATAAAGAGCTTTTTAAATGCTCATTATAGCCCCAGAATAAGTGAAATGAGCACAGGCGGCAGTGCTGTGGCCGCTGATGGACTTCAGCACCGAACAGTGGGGTCCCCAAATTATGTCTTAAATGTTTCTTTTCAGTTAAAAACCAGCAACAGAACATTATAAACTGTACCAGTAGAAGTAGGGATAATATGATTTCTTGTTGAATTATGCAGGATGAGTGTTTTGGCTCTCTGTTGTTGCATATTTATACTAATATACATTAGAAGCATACATTTCAGGTATCAGTCACAAAGTACAGCCCCACTGTAGAGACAAATTATGTAAGTTTCTGGTAAATACTGATCCAAGGCCAGCTGTGGAATTATATCTAAATCATTGTTAGTGAGAGAGTCAGGAACCCTGGATCAGTATTGCTTGTTTGGCCCAAACAAAACACAGCTTGAATGCCAAATAAGTCAGAGTGGAAACAGCATCCAGACAAGCAGCTGAGTCATTTCAAGTGTTTTCCAACAGTCATCTGTCGGGACATCTGGCCAAGACGAGGCTCTGGCACTAAAACACTTAGAGAGAACAAATGCAACCCAATACTCTCTCTATCACATGTGAGAGGAATTACTCTTGGACAGTTGTAAATATATATATATATATATATATATATATATATATATATATAATATCTCATGTACAGTAACGTGTAAGTGTGTCAGAAAGTCTCATACATTAACTTGTGGTCCCTTTCAGCATGAAGGAGCATCTTGCCAACACAAGGGACGCCATAGATGGAAGAGAGCATATGGCGAACGTCCTGGAGAATCATTTTTCTACTTTAGAGAAGACTCTGCTCAACATGCAGCTTCGACTCTACAAACTCATGCAACAATGACAGCGACAAGGACCTGTTGCCTCTTTCTTCCCTTATTTGAACTGTATTTATATATCCACGTATTGTACAACAATGTAGCAAAAGCATGCATGCTCAGGACTATTATCCGTATTATGAGGACAAAACATACTTGTTATATCATCTTATGTCATCAAAAACATCTGTAACATCATGTAACCTGGATTCAGCAGAAATAAATAAACCTCACATTATCAGGGAGATTTGATGAACATGTAGCTGTTAAATTTAGTTTTACATTTCCCCTTTTGCAAACGTGTTCCACATGGAGCTTTCATGGTCGCATTAACAGCCTCTCGTAAAACCGCAAGACACTTGTGGGGCTTGGAGCAGAATAACGTTCAACACGTCTCCCAAGATTGTGGTGTGAAACCCATATGGTGCAACATGAATATCAGACAGCATGAATCTTTATTTTAATATCAAATCTAAACAATTAACTTGTAAATGTATGAGGAAGATGCCTTATAAGTTGGCCAGCTGTTATATACACTTTGAATAGTCACATCTGTTAGGCTGAGAGTGAATTTTCATTTGGAAAAAAAACACAGCATGTTCAGTTGCTTTGTAGTTAAGCTGGGAAAAAAAGGAGGTATTTAAACTTTTGATTAGTTCAAACCACTTTCAAGTATTTGATAAACTACTCAGAACTCAAACATAAGTGTATATGTAGAACTTAGAGTCAGTAATATCAGCACATTTCACCTGGAAATCAATGTTTTACAACATGTCTCAAATAAAGTGTTCACCAAATCATATTTTAAAAGGCAACAATAAATCAGGAGCTGAGACATCTGTGCTCCAGCCGTGTGGTCTGTTATGTGGAATGAACTAATACAGGCCTGCAAGTTGTTAAGAACAAAACAATTCACTCCTCCTGATTGTTGTGCATGCAAAACAAGCATGACATTTATAAGACACTGCTACCAGAAGACCTTTAAAGATAGTCTAGGAATAGGGCCGTATGCAACATCGTTCTGTAATCTACGATTCAAGTACATCATTTATTAGCTACAACAGTGCTTTAACCTACACAAACATATTGTCTTTGTAGAGGTGATCAATTGCAATATGATTGATGATCTAAGGCTGCTTTGTTTAGGCCATTGTTACAAATTTAGGTTTCTTAGACATCTGTCACAACTTCTGTGTTCATCTAAGACGTTATTTGATTTTGCGGTTTTACTCTCATCTCCGTGTTTGTCCACTAACTTCTTCCGTAAGCCCTACAGCTGAACTCTGTCAATGTATTTAAAAGCACTGAGACAGCTCCGGGTGTCTCGTCTGCCAGTCATTCTGCTCTCAATGAAAGGCGTGTACAATTGATAACATCTGTCCAGAAGTGACATGCAGCCAGTGTACTTTTTTTTTTTTTTTTTTTTAAAAGTCAGTGTCCTCTTCTTGCATTTGCTCCAAAGACTTGAGGTAATCTTGTGCCAAGATCTTCTTAGGCAGGATATCTGTCGGTTAGGAAGAGAATATTACACCATGTCAAACTCGCTCTTACAGTCACAACTTATAGTAATTTCAGGAATCTTCAGGTGGTGACAGACGAAGCTTTCAATCATGACTGGTTGATCAACATGCAATCACACAGTAAACATGAGCTTTCCTCAGCAGACTACACGGCTACAACAAAACTTTGTGTTAAAGGAAGTATTTATCAAGAGCCAGAATAAGATGTGGACTGTTCATTATCGTATAAAAGTTCTTAATATTTTACTTTAAAGTGCAACAGCTCCCAAATATATAGTTCTATTAGATTTAGTAACTTTTAATAGACAGTGGGAAAAATAATGATGGAAAAGTTAAATCAAAGAATACAAAGTTCACAGTTACAATAAAGAACTGGTTGGACTTAAACTTTTAGAGCTGGGTTATAAATCAATATACGCCTCGTCTATCACAGACTCTGTAGTTTTATAATACAAAATCCATATATAACATGATACAGTAAATATTGTGGAAAACATCAATCAAAATAAAAACTGTTGTATGGATAACCTGTTTAAACAACTTGTTTGAAATGAGCCTGACAAATTAACGGTACATCCTTGTCCATCATGCAAAAATTATATAAAAACCCAACATTGCCATAAAGCAGTTATTATCTTTACAGACATAAAACATTAAACTATAAAACAATGCAATAAATCCTACTTTCATAAAAGTTGAAATTATTAAACTATTTTAGAGAGGTGCTAATTCCACTTTATGGTCATTTTTTGAGGATGTGGTTTGTTATTAAATTGTTTTGTATTATATGAAGAGGAGTTTCTAACATGTTGTCAGGCCCATTTAGATCAACATGGGTGTGAAAAATACACCAAAGCACCCAAAAGACCATAAAGTTGAATGAACACCTCTCTTTAACCTACAGCCTTTGTGGAGACGGTTGTTAGGTGGATCTGATAAACTGTTAAATATGTGTATCACAATAATAAACACAAGTTCTTCAGGTTCCAGGTTACTCTACAGTTCCAGTAGGATCCCTGTAGGTTCATCAGTCTGCAGTCTCACCTGTGAGGAAGTGGAAAGTCTCGATCTCCTCTGCGGTGTGAGCCAGGTCGCTGTATGACAGACTGTTGCTCTCTTTCCCGGAGCCGCTGTTGAACGAGGACACGGCCAGGTGCTGGACAAACAGCTCCTTCAAACAACACAACACACGGTCAGCAATGGGACAAACTCACGGTAAACTGGGACCACTGGGGCAACCAGTTAAAAACTCAAGCGGCTGCGTTCACATGTATCCGATAGGCTAACGGCGAGCTAATCCCTGTTAGCACCCGATGAATGAGCGGATAGTTAGCGGAGCTCGGTGAACCGATGATTGAGCATTAAACTGCGGCTTACTGTCGCCTTGGTGGTGAGGAAAAGCGCGTCCTGGTTGATGCTGGAGACATCCGGAGAGCTCTTCATTATCAACCGCACTCGGGAAATCGGGAGGGAGATGGTTTTTTTGTTAGCGGACGTTTGGTCGTCTTTGTCGGGATTATTTTGAGACATCTTCATGAGGACGCGGCGCCAGACAGCCGGAACTTAAAGTATTGTTTTGAACAGTGGAGTGTTTCTTCTTCTACTTCTAATTCCCGGTAGTTGGCGGTCTTTGTAGCGGACTACCGCCACCTGCTGGAGCGGAGACACCTCGGGTGGAAACTTTTATGTGTTCAGGTATTATTACAAATAAATAATTTAATAATAATATGAATACAGTATTTAGATATTGTCAAAGCTTCCCCTGGCAGGTATTGCTTCAGAAATCCTCTGCAGACGGCGGTATAAAGGTTAGCTGATTAATCGATTACTTTACTTTTAAATCAATTGGCAACTATTTTTGATATTCGCTTGATTGTTGTCATGTTTAAAGAACAATGAACCCCCAAATCTCTGGTTTCAGCTTCTGAACTGTGAATATTTTCTGGTTTCTTCAGGGACAGTAAACTGAATTTCTTTGTGTTGGGGATAAAACACATTTGAGGTTTTGTCACTTTGGGTTTTGGAAAACACTGATCAATATTTTTCACCATTTTATGGATCAAACCACCAATCGATTCATTAAGAAAATGATCAACAGGTTACTTGTTGATGAAACTAATTGTTAGTTGCAGTCCTACTATTTTAATGCCATTAATATCAATATGGAAGGCAATGTGTTTTTGTGATTTTAATACAGGTTAAATAATTTGTGCTGGAGATTTTATAAATTATTTCCTGTGTTTGGAGCAAAAATATTTTTTCTTGTCTTTTTTAAATCAGTACTAAAATTGTATGTGATTCCTTAAAATATTTACAAAACACTTTATTTCATTTTTACTTTGTTTTATTATATGTTGATAACTTAACTATCTTCATCATTGTACTGATTTCTGACTATTATGCCGCTGGGTTGCTGATGTTTGTCCCAAGGTTATTATAGTACATGCTTCTACTAAAAGTAGGTGTGAAAAAAACATTTTACTTAACTGGAATAAAAAATAAAAACTACTGTCTTTAGTCAATTTGAAAAAATGTATCATCACAACAAGCATGAGGAGGCATTAGTGCATATATGTGTATTGAGACTGGGATGTCAACTGCTTTCACAAAGTGTTTCCTATTCTGAACTTTTTAAATCTTGCCCCTGACAAATACACCCGTCTTATAGTTTTTAAAAACCCCAAACTAATAATGAAAATAAAACAAAATAAACTAAACTAACAAAAACTAAATTGAAACAAGCAAACGAACTCTGGAAACTAAACCGAACTGAAAATAAAAAATTAAAACAAAAAGTTCTAATGAAAAATACAAAACGAACATAACATCGGTTCTTTTTATGGCCAACATTTTTTATTTATTATATATATATAAATATATATATATATATATATATATATATATATATATATATATATATATATATATATATATATATATATATTCAGTTAAATCCACACTGAGCTCGGCGCAGTCTCCTCCACTCCAGTGGCGGCGCTAGACTAAACCTACAGCCTAAAAAAAAAAACCCAGAAGAAGAAACGATGTCAATAGAGGCAAAGAAGAAGACAGTGGCGTTAGCAATGGCGCTGATGTGGTTGAGGAAATAAACAATCCAGGTTGCAATTAGATGCTGTCGTGATTATCTTAATCACTTGAATGTCTTAGCTAGTCCTCTAAGGTCTCTCGTAGAAAGGAAATAGATGTTTCTCTGTTTGTGTCGTTGCTAGGAGACACATCAGTGTGTTACTGGTGATCAGCGACCATCGTCTCTCTGTGTTCGTACTTCTGCCCAGTTAACGATGCCGCTGGGTTTGAAACCATGCTGTGCTGTTTGCAAGACGAACTCTTCGTCGATGTGGAAGAAAGGAAACCTGGGAGAAATCCTCTGCAACAACTGCACAGGGAAGAGCAGCGGCGGCGGAGCATCGGGACCCTCCATGTCCTCCAACACTCAGCCCAGCAATGGCGGGGGGAAGCAGGTTGGTTCCTGTGTGTGTTAAAATGAGTCTTTAACGTGGGAGCAAAGGGAAACCCCACTCTAAAACAGACTTCATGTGTCAGTGGACTCTACTTACAGCTCAGTGTTGTATATATTTGAAGAAGCAGCAGCATAACAGACTGTAATGTAGTGACATTACTGGGATATGAGGATGTACTAAATATAAACTAACGTTATATATACTATGTTCTTCACCATAGGAAGACTGTTGTCTGTGTTAACAATATCATTGGAGATCAAGGTAGATTCTGGGGCTACAACAAGTACAAAACATTTTCTCCTCTTTTCTTTTTGACCTCAACTTTATGTTTATTGGACAAAGTTACACAAATACACATTCCAGTTGTTACATCTTTGCTCCCTTTCTCTGTTTTATACCGCAGTCTTTCTATTTTTGAGACGAAACAAGCACTTGGAAAGACCTCACCTAACCTCACCTCAGATATTAAGATGGACATTTCTTTCATCTAATCGATTGTCCAGTAATTAAGAGTTGTTGGCCTATATTTTGTTATAGGTGAATGATGAATGTTATGTGTCTCTTTTGTCTTTAGTCCAAGCAGGAGATCCACAGGAGGTCTGCACGACTGAGAAGCACCAAGTACAAAGCTCCTGCATCTGAGAAGAAGGTGTCAACCAAAGGAAAAGGAAGAAGACACATTTTCAAACTCAAAAATGTAAGTTAGAGATGGATTTGATCAGCAATTAGATTTAGTTCTCTTGTTTTTGTGTTGCAATATGAGTCGACTGTGTTTGACCCCTGTGTGCGATCTCTTTCCTTAGCCAATCAAAGCACCAGAATCTGTTGCAACAATCATCACGTCAGAATCTGTGTTTTATAAGGTATGGTGTAAATCCCCACTAAGCAAAAATAATCTTGTGTTTCTATTCAATAGCATGTTTTCAGCAGTTCTTCTTGTAATTGCAGGTTTAATAACAGCACGGTAGCACCAAACCTTCGTCCTGTGACCGTCGTCATCCTCTGTGTTTATATTTGTATCCGCAGGGTGTATACTACCAGACAGGAGATGTGATCAAGGTAACGGATGAGGAAGACGGGAAGCCGTACTACGCTCAGATTCGAGGCTTCGTGCAGGACCAGTACTGTGAAAAGAGTGCTGCGCTGACTTGGTTAATCCCCACCCAGGCCAGCCCAAAAGACCAGTTTGATCCTGGAACGTACATCGTTGGTGAGCAATGAGAAATGTATTTGATTATTTTTCCAATTTTTACGCCATTTATGGTTAATTTACGTTTTGCCTGTTTTGTATTAGGTCCAGAGGAGGATCTGCCCAGAAAGATGGAGTACCTGGAGTTTGTGTGCCACGCCCCCTCTGAATATTTCAAGTCACGCAGCTCTCCGTTTCCCACCATCCCCATCCGACCAGAAAAAGGCTACATCTGGACCCACATAGGACCCACGCCAGCCCTCACTGTCAAAGAGTCTGTCAGTGGTAGCAGTTAACATGACAGTGATATGGACTTAGTCTGTTGCTTTTAAACAGACGTAAATGTACATTTATGTAATATAAGGAAAACAAAAATGGTTGTTAACCGCAGCCATTACTTCAGATTGAAGACAGGTTGTAATTTGATACAAAAGAAGGTGTACTACGTTTCAAACTGCAACATTGGAATACTTTTGTATTTAGTAATAAACAAAAAAAAAAAAGCTCTTTTCTACCATGCCCTTTTTCTGTGATTGTTTAAAAATAGCATTTATTCACTGTTATCCCTTTGTGAATTAGCATTTATTCACTGTTATCCCTTTGTGAATTTACCTGTAAATGGTGTAATTATGGAAACGAGAGATAATGTGAGCAAAGTTAGAATGATATAAACAGTAAATAAGTGTCCAGTGTTAATAACACGCAGTACACAGCAGATGTGATGTGTTTGTTCTTCCAGCATCCTCTTGATGTTTACCTGATTTACACCTGAGTTGTGTGATTATGTTCTGCAGTGGTCTCCTTTGTGCCAGTGCAGCTGTGTCAGACTGATGATGGGTCTGTGATGTGGGAAACACAGACAACTGGTGTTCAAGACATCACTTTCATCTGATGCAGCAGATTATGAGCATGAATACTGTACTGACAGACAATATTCGTAATTCATATGAGCAAAAAATAGTGCGCAATCAGGCTTATGCGGGGAAAATATGTTGCACTACTGGTCAAGCATGCGGAAATGCACACACAAGATAAATGACTAATATGTTACTTATTATGATTATCATTAATATTAATATTATTACCTTAATAAAAACCCAAACTTTACATATGTCCAGCACGAACTGTTTTTAAAGGTAAAGTCTTTAAAGGCTTTCTCTCATTATTTCCGAAGACGGAAGTGCGCAGCTGTGCAGCCTCTCGCTCTGCGTCTGCACTCTTGGATCTCAGTCAAACTTTCAAGTTTCGCTTGGTCTGTGAAATCCCCAGTGAGCGAATATCTGCGATAGTTTCCCGGTGCTCTTGTTGGGAAATGGATATTTCACAAACGTCAAATGGATTTTCCCCCTCGTCGATTGGACATTATGAACTTTTCTTAACCCAATGAACAGAAAGGATTATGGGCAAATTCCAGTCCAAACTTGGTGAGATTTTTTTTTTATTACATCGCAAACTGTGTTTTGTTTTTTAAAAAGATGGAATCGCTTCTAACTTATTCTCCTTTGTCTCTTTATTTGGACAGCTTCGAAACGTAGACAGAGTCCTGAAGGTAGCAGCACAGATACTGTACAAACATTAAATCTCCAATGTGTTTGTACATGTGTTCATACATTTATTCTTTTATGCTCTGCAGGTGGTAGTTTGGCTTCTAATGTGCTGAGCTGTCAAAGGGAGCTGGAGCGGATCCACATCCACAAAACCAAACTGACAGAGGTACGAAGTTCACTTGTATTATTTTTCATGTTTTATATTATTTAATAATGGCCTATCACATACAGACACAGGTAAAAAATAAAACCATGGGGCCACCCACTTCAGGTATTACACAACAGTGATCCCATGATACTTATTTTTGTTTCCTTCAACACTCAATTAATTCAACTAATGGTCTGGTACTGATATATGACCAGACCGGCTGGAAGCTGGCACAATATTTACAGTTTTCTTCACAGATTCTAATTGATAATATTGATAGTAATTTAGTGAATTTAGACTCTAGAGATGTACTGAACACCAAAGAGAGTTTGGGGGAGATTTTCTTTAATTATCTAAATCAAGAGATTAAATATGTAGGGTGTCATATACATGTGATTTGCTATATTAAAATGGTTTGGCTTTATATTGATGATAAATAACACATGTATTTGAGTCTGTTCTCTTAAATGTATGAGAGCTGTATATTAACTCTGTTCCCATAGTGAAGCAGTAAAAACAGAGGCATTAGCAGCAACCCCATACTGGTTTATTGCAGTGCCAACAGTCTCATGTCAGTTAAGCCATTTTGGCATAAACAGTATTTGCTCACATCACATCCAGAGAGACATAAAAGGTGTTTGGAGGCAGTCGTATATTTATTCTTCCGCCCTTCCTCCTCCATCTCTATAAAGAGACTTCCAAGTCTGTGAAGTGCAACACGCCCCCCCCCCAAAACAGCAAGGTCTTTATACCCAACTGCATAGAAAAAAAAAAGTCTCCACATCTGGTACTGCTTTCCTTCTCCAACCAGACAGACTGTACTGCAGAGGGGCGGGTGTTTCACTGCGTAAATGGCATCACATGTAGACCCTTGGCATTAATGACCCAGTCACGTTTGGGCCCCGGATGCTGTTAGAGAGAAAAGTAATTGTCCTCTTCATTAAACACGCTGATTCGATCCGTGTAACCAGATTATGCAGCGAAAGTAAATCACAGAAGTTTTATGTGTTTCCAAAGATCACAGGGCTGCTTGTAGGAACAGTAAATTCACTTTGTGATAAACAACCAACATGACGTTTTCACTTTTCTTCATCTTGTTTGATCTTCTAGCGTCCTAAATCATGAGATTGTTGACACCACGTTCTTGTTGTTTTGAGCTTTTTAAAGTGTTGGAAGTTGAGGATATATTTGCACTAGGCTGTATGGAAGTTCTGGTAAGTTCTGCAGTTTGGAAAAAAATATGTCGACTCTGCCAAGTTGTTTAAGGGGTTGTGGTGGAGTTTCTGTGCTTGTTAATGGCAGAGAGCTTCCTGCGATTTAAATTTTCCAGCCTATTATAGCTTGACACTCCATGACACCACCACTGTAAACTGCAAAGGAGTCTCATTGTATTTCTTTCTGTCAGCTTTCTCACATGAACCCTCTTTTTGCATCCTTGGTGGGAAGTCTTTGCCTGATAACTTGAAATTTAAAGAGTCTTCTGCAGAGTCGTTTGAAAAATGACACCTTAAACATTTCTGACATTAAGATAACTTTTGTTTTTTAATAAAAGCAATCTTTGTATTTACATACCTGTCAAATACCAGTGACTCAAGGTCAGGTGTCAACAACATCACTTTCTAAAGTAATACAAACCTATCTGATTTGCTATTATCTCTAGATTGTGTGTGTTTTCATAAATACTCTACAAATATTGTAACATCCAAGAGCAAACACCATGAGCAAGGATTTAATCTCCTCACGCGTCCGCCTCATATTGTCTGACATAATTGATGAGTAGGAGTGGTTACTTTGACTTCCAAGCTCAAAGAAAACTATTCTGCTTGCCAGTTCACAACATTTGTACCAATGTTATTCTGTACGTGTTCATGCATGTTACTTTAAGTATTGAAAAGGTTGGTCTTTGTGATTATATTTGGGTAAAATCCACCCTTGAAATCCAATTTATTCAATTACGTCCCTCTTTTATTTTGAAAATCCCTCCAGAATTTGTAGTTTTCTTGTTATATTATATTATTATATATATTTATAATTATTCTGAGCTTTTAACAGGTGAAGTTTTTCTGTAAGGTTGTCTCATAATTCACACACCTTTTCATAGACACTTTGAAAATGAGGACCTCTCAACAGTCACTCACTCATTAGACAAAAAGTGGGGTTTGGTTTTGATATGTTTCTGCACATAAAAAACCAAAGTCACTGCAGCCTGTTGACACTGATATGAGTCCCAGAACAGAAGCCATCAGAGCATCATCTCTCCATGTCTTACAGTGAAACTTCCTAGGTATCAAGTTATCAGTAAGGCTGTTGGACATTCTTGGTGAGACAAAGGCGGCTACTGTCCTGCTAACACTTGAAACTTTGTGATACCAGGATGTATAATGAGGGTGTACAACAGAGAAGAAAGAAGAAGATTCTTCCAGGCACACACGTTCCTGCTACCTCCACCGTCTCTTCAACTTCCCACCCTTCTTTCACTGGAAATGGATCCCAGCATCAAAGCTTCACAGCAGGCAGAGCGTGGCGAGCAGAGGGTGTGGAGAGAGATCAGTTGTGTTGCGTGTGTGTGAGGTTGTGCACTCGGATTATCTTTCCCGCATTTGTGAGGCGTTTGAGACGCTGGATTGTTGTGTTGAGAGATAAGAAAAGTCTTGCTGGTGCTTTCGTTTCTCTCGTGCTTTGCAGTGCTGACCTGAGAGAAGAGTGGTTATGTACGATCAGATGTTTTTTAAATGACAGGAATGGATATGAATCTTATTGTTTAATAGTTTTATTGTGGTTTGAGGAGGTACTCAGATCCTTTACTTAAGTGCTAATGCCACACTGTGAAAATTCTCCATTACAAGTAAATGTGTTCAAAACCATACTTAAGAAAAAGTATGTAAGTATCATGTATTTAGTTCAAACCCACACAGACCTTTATATCTTTTCCCCTTCTTTCGCTCAGTTGCTGACTCACACTCTTTGTGTGTTTTAGTTTTTGGAGGAAAATTTCACCGCTAATCCAATGTGTTAGAAATAACTTTTTTGGACACAAAAACCACAGATGTTCAAGGATTGTTCAGCCTTTCTCACATCTGGAAAATAATCCTCACACTCATGAGACATGAAAATCACTTAATTGCTTCCTCTGTGCTTCCCCTCTCCTTCTCCTACATGTCTGCTCTCTGTTAATGTACAACTCTCTCACTTGTTTCACAGAACTTGTACGTAGAATTGAGGGAAAACAAGTCAGCCCAAAACTGCAACCTTAAAGGTTAGTAGAGAATTACATGCATCACATTGACACTGTTCACTTTCTATGTATCATAAAGAGCTTAATTATTATTGTAAATAATTTGTGCATTAAAGTTTTGAAACCTCTTTGCTTTCAAGGAAAAGGAAATAGTAAAATGAAACACATCTGTTTTGTATTTGTGTAGGAAAGCTTCAACCTTTGGATACACAGATTTCAATTAGCTTTTCGTTTCTTCTCTGCTGCCAAACATGTATTGAAAACAGAGCTTGTGACACGGAATAAATTAATTACAAAGGCACAGCATGTTAACACAATAATTAGTTATTAAAGCGTCTACTGGATAACGATATATCAACTGTGTTGTTCTGTGTGTTGTTCAGTGGTTCTGCCACCACAGACAACACCTGGAAGAGGGCACAGCATCCACTTCCAGGTCAATAAACAGACAAAGAAGAGGAGCTGCAATGCTGGTGTGAGTACAATATCAACATGTTTTGTAATGTCTCAACAACTCGAAGTACCAGATGGGTGAGATGTGCCTGGATGATTAATAGTACTGATTATGGTGAGATGTGTTTTTTTAAGTTTGTGGCACGCATGCAAAGTCACGCATCTGATCCTAATCAACAGTGCATTTTTATAATTACACACTGAGGTTTTACCAGTTTGGGTCAACTCATACACCACATAAATTACTGTAAACTTTAATTCTACCCAATAAACTACAGAATGGCAGTTTTACAGCAGCAATAAGCTTGTTTTCTTGACTATTTGGGCACACACAGGTCACAGAGTGTAACGTGGTGCTCAATGAGGACACTCAGCAGGAGTGGGTCTTCACACTGTACAACTTTGACAACAGTGGGAAGGTCACCAAAGAGGTAGGTTTCATTCACACATAGAGTATGTCGTTTAAATAAAGTGCTGTTTAAAGTAGCTTGCCTTGTACCCTGTGTGTGTATGAATGTGTGTGTATTCTGCAGGACATGTGCAGTCTGATACACTCCATGTATGACGTTCTAGAGGCATCAGTCAAGCTGTCTTACAGTGGCTCTACACCCCTGAAGATAAAGCTACTTGTAACTCCAACTGCTGCAGAAAAGACCTCACAAATAGGTAAAAGGTCATTTTTATTGTTGCCTAAGAACCATAGACATGCATTGAAGACAGTCTCAATTTGTAACTCAACACCAAGTACTATCACTGCTGTGATGATAACAACCCTCTCTTACTGAAAATGGCAGCAGAGAGGCAGCAGAGTGCGTCTCAGGAGGCAGGAACACCAGAGAGAAGACTTTATTGTGCAGATGAAAACATAGAGCGCAGAAACCACTACCTGGATCTAGCTGGCATTGAAAACTATACCTCCAAGTTTGACAATACAGGTATAGAAACTCCTCTGTTGCTGTTAGTCAGTATATAAACATTTCATGAACTGTTTTCATCTGAACATACAAAATTAAAGTAATTTTTCTTTCCTTTTTTTCCCAGAATTTCCCTCCCAGGAGCCCAAACAGGATGATCACTCTGCTCTTCAGCACCACCCTGTGGTAATCAGAGACAACTGCAGCTCCACTGAGCCTCCCAGAGGCCTCTCTATCCCTCATTCCCTGAGAAATAAGGCCATGTCAGTAGGGAAAGACAGGAAAGGAGGAGAGGGAAAGTCCTGCAGGTTACATGGCCAGCACCCTGCTTCCTTGTGTCTTCCTTCCCAGTGTCAACCTGCAGCACAGCGTACTCACAGCAAGAGGCTTCGCTCCAGGGCACAAGAGGCTTCCTCGCACCTTAGGCCCACACCAGGGGGAGATAAGGAACTTTTTTCCCACCTTCAGCCCTCCTGTGGCACCCTGGCCTCTCCAGCCCAGAGACATGAGCACCATCACCACCATGAGCACCATCATCATCATTACCACCATCACTACCACCCTTCATAAATGCATTTTAAGCACATATGAGACAGGTGAGAAGAGGTGGTGTACTGATATATGGGTAGTTTTGGAATTCACCTCATTTGCATTATAAGGTATTGTTATCTAATGCAAACAAACCCTGAAAGATTACCTACTCTGGATCCAGGAAGAACAGTTCAGTGTTAACTGAATGCTACTTATATAGCTTTAGATTGACAGGTTCCTCTCAGGTTGATTGTCACTTAAGCTTTAAAATTATTTTGATGTACACTTTGTAGAGAAACATAGCTGCATTTTAACCTAAAACATGAACACTAACCACCATTGCATATTATCAATGTATTTTCTGTTTGATATGTTAAAATAATGTAGAAATATACTGTGTCTTTAGTTTAAAAAAATGTGTTTTATCCTGAAATGGTCCCATCTTTGCTTCCTATATTCAAATTACAATAACATAAAGTTTTTTTTTCTTGTCTTTCTTTCATGCACAGTCGTTTTCTGGCCTGAATATGTTGTTTTGAATAAATTGTATTTTTCTATATCATTGGCAGCATACAGACAATATAACTTTGATTCACTTTGAGATGTGTGTAACCTTCATGTGTATCAGGTGTCTAAAACCGCAGTAAACATCGGGTTGTTTTTAGACTCTACATCTGCACTAATGTTTATATCAGGAGAAATCCACCTTGAAAGAGTCAGTGATACCCATGTCTCCTCTGGCAGAAACCTCAGTAGACCATAATGCATTGCAAAAATGAGACATGTTGTCATTTCAGATAGTTTACTGAGGCAGGTTTAGAGAATAATGTATGTATCAAAAACTAAATAACAGCACCTTATTACAAATTACCTTCTCAAATGCATTAAACACTGCAAACTGCAGATGTTTCTGTGGTACAGATTGGATTGTTTCTGTATTGCTGTTCTATTTCTGCTCTCATAACATTGATTTCATTGGTCCTTGCAGCTCATTGTGTGTAGTGTTGGTCTCTCAAAGAGGTGTGAATAGTGACCCAGTGCCATTTTAATGTTGTTCCAACTTATCTCTCTGGCAAAAATGACTGCAAATAGCCACTGTCCCCGACAAACGACGTGAGACAGCTGTTTCTATTAATAACCTCAACCCTCTTACCAACCACGAGACCTCCCTGTGCCTTCTCTGGTCTCACCACAGCAAGCCTGGTCCTAGACAAGTGCGCAACACGCAGACAGACAGCAACAGAGGAAATCAACAAAGCAGCAACCACAGAGGAGGCAAAACACTGACACGCAGAGCTGTTTGACTGCAGCTCTCGTCAACAACCAGGAAACTCAAAGACCTGTTTGTATGAATAAACCTAAAACCTAGAAACATGAAATCACTGCGATTTATTGCTGCTGAGGGCTTCATCCAGAGTGGTCCAAGTGCTGTGGAAAACCTGAACTGTGTGTCTTTTAACCTCTACCCACTTCTCTTCAAGGCCTGCTACCTCCATGAGCAGGCTGACTTGCTGCATGATTTGGTCGAGGTATGGCCTCTTCCTGAGCTCAACCTACACAGGCTCCTGGGAAAGTCAGTCGACTGTCAGATGGACCTCACCACCCGTACCTGCCGACTTTGTCTGAAGGCCATTTTAACTGGCTTAAAGGTATTTAAATGGCCATGTGTACCTCATCATATTCATGTCAAACTCATGTTTTAGTTGCATTTTGTGTTTTTCAGTTCTTGTACTTAATTGTTATGGGCTGACGAGAGAGTCACTTCAAAAGACTTTACCATCATTTCCCCTTGTTTTCTAAAGGATTACGTGCTGTCTCCTCCAAGAACCTACGCCAAGAACTTGCATGTGGTGGACCTGACTGCCCTGAAGGATGTCGAGTACCAGGCCTGCCCCTGCCAGTCCACCCTGGGCCGATGGGCAAGAACCCAGATCCTGACGCAAATGTGCTATGAGACCATGGTGGCCATGCAAAACATCGACTGGTCCCAATCTGTCTTTGAAACATCAATTAATGTCCGTCTGAACGGCTTCGTCACAGGCCGCAACTATGAGATGGTGGCTCAGGCCTTCCTCCTCCTCCGCTACTGTCCACTGAAGCTTCGTTTTGTTGGTTTTCGGGCTGATTCCCTCGCTCTCAAGCAGCTGTTCTATGTTCTTCGCCTAGCAGAACCCGAGTCCATCTCAAAGCTGGAGGTGGTCCACAATGTTCCCCTGGAGGCCATACACTTAGAGGTGCTGCTGTCCAGGGTGGAATTCCCTAAATTACAGTCTTTGACCCTGCCAGCTGGGGCGTTGGATGTTAGAAGGTTGGGCACTGATGAAGAGGATCTGCTGGCCACCATCGGCAATCTACTGGCAAAACTGAGCAGCCTGACTGAGCTCTATGTTAGCTTCTCCACTCTAACGGGACACCTACGCAAACTGCTTAAGTGAGTACATGGCCAGAGCGAGGGATGAAGAAAGACAACATGGGGCCCTTGTTTGTATGTATTATCATGTGAATGAGGGGATGGATGGCTCTGTTGGCAGACTTACGTGCACACTGCAGCATCAAGAGCTTTATTATAGCTCACAATAATCACCTTCAACCAGCGTCACAGCACATTCTAGCTTCAAGGCTCTTGTTTAACAATGGGAGGTATTTTGTTGTTAAAATTGCTGATATGATGCCAGAGTGAGGACAGACAGCTGCACCTGACCACAGTGGCAGGTTAGCCAGAAACCTGCTGGACAGTCTTCACATTTCAAATGGAAATAGAACAAACAGGAGCACAAATCCCAAACAGAGGGGCCAATCACAGTCTGGGATTTAGTTTAAGCAGGTTTTTATAAAGTAAAGGAGGAAAATGTTGCAAAATAGAAACATAAACATGGAAGGTTAATGGTTAGTTTGGGGATATAAGTATTTGTCACAATGTTTAAAAGACTGAATATTGAACTGACTTAAAGGATTTCCGGCACCAAGACTAAATAACAAATCCTACATGAGGATACAAACTACATGTATCTGCTATACACTATATAAAAATGTACATTTGTGTTCAATTCTGGTACCACTGACCTTTTTCCCCTTTAATTTTTAATTTTCTTTACCCAGTCCTCTCAACACTCCACTGCAGTGCTTGGAGGTGGCCAACTGCTCCTTGAACCGTTTGGACATGACATACCTTTCCAACAGCCTCCACAGTGAGGCCCTGGTCCGCCTGGACATCAGCGGGCATGACATCTTCAGCTCTTTCTCCACCTATTTCCACAAACTGCTCAGGCGTTGCTCTGCCACGCTGGTCAGCCTGGCCCTTGAAGAGTGTAACATAGAGGACGAGCACATGGACGCCTTCACTAACACTCTGGCTTGCTGTCAGGGGCTGGAGGAGCTCAAAATCCTGGGAAACCCTCTGACGTCTGTAGCCCTGCTTAGGTTATTCTCCATACTATGTGCAGGCTTTCCGAAGTTAAAGTACATAGAGGTACCAGTTCCCCGTGACTGTTACTCTGAGAATGTCACTTATCCTCTTGATGATTCAGACCTACTGCAGTACAACAAGGAGTTGTTTCAGGAAGTCAGGGGCCAGCTGATTGGGATCCTGGAAGGAGCTGGTAGAGGGAATGTCGAGATATGCACCCCACTCATGGGGGCCTATGACCCAGACATTAATGAAACTGGCAACGAGCTGGGAGTGTCTATGTTAAAAAGTTTTAACGGCGTCATTGGGAACTTCATAGGAACCATAACTGACGTGGACAGCAGGAGAGCACAGGCTCAGAAAGATAATTAGTGGGGGTACCTGTGGAAGGATCAAATAAATGGGTTGACACGCAAGGGTCACGAACTCAGATCTTTTACATGAGTCGAGACATTTGTGTAAAGCAGACCTGAATCTTCAAACCTTACAGAAATGTTCATGCTTTGATGACTATGAGTGACCCCTGCAGACAATTTCTTGCTTTTTAAGTTGGGATGTGCTGATACGATCCCGGCCAAAATCCCTGGATTGGATATCATAGAGACTCTTTCACAGTTTGAGCGTGTTTTTAGATGGCTAGTTTGAGCAAAGTGCATCCATACAAATGCCATACCTATTTTTGAGGCATGACTCACAGCCAACACTGTGAAAATACATCATATTTTATGACATATGTAGGACCATCATCACTTATGAGATATTATCTGAACAGGGAATCATTAGTTTTCCCAGTGTTTCTCAGTGTGCAAGGCAAACAGATGTGCAGTGTAGGTAGATGTAGCTACTATAGTGTGTATAGTAGATACTTGAAGTTTGCCTGGGATTTTTCTTTAGCTATAACCATTGTATATGTTTGTGTGTCTATGCATTGGTTTAAATGTATATTTTTGGATTTGTAAAGGTAAACAGCAGTTATTTGCACCGTGGGACAGATCCAAATTTAGTAAGTATACAAATGTAACGGTTACATTTTGTCATACTAATAAATCAAATCTTTAAATAGCCTACTATCCATTGTATATGGTAAAAATGCAACACACCCATATCTTCGAAAATGTAAATGTTTTTAATGAGTACTGTCTTATATAGATCACATTTCATTTTAAATACTACATCAGGAGACAATTATGCACCGACCAAAGATAAGGATTAAGAGCTTCGAGCAGGAAGCATCTATTTCTTCATCCACTCCTCTTTTTCTTTCCTCTCACGGATCACCTCAGCCAGATGGGGTGTCAGGTAATGGACATCCTAAAAGGGAAATGATAGGAAGGATCAATATCACAACTCAAATCATTCTAGATTCAAACATTTTTGCTGACTCCAGGTAGGTAAACATTACGATTGGAGAGGCTCCAAAACCTACATTTCAGTGTGTTATTTTTGAATTTCACATTATGACAACAGTTGCATACTTTACACTGAGATTTCAACATGTTTGCCATCTGCCTGCAAAATTATTTAGTGAGTAGTTAAAAGTAATGAAATTATAATAAGACAACGCTACTGCGACTATCTACATGTACTATTTAAAACTACATACCAGTAAGGTGGGGAAACAATTCAGTATAATAGTATGCCTTTACATTACATTAAATTTACAGATTTAAATTAGTTTAATGAACCTCTTCAAATTTCGTCCACTGTTCTTTGGGGAGGATCTGCTGCTTCATGGAGAGATCCATTGCTCTCTTGATCCTGAACATCCTATCGTTGTACTGGTCCTCTGAAAGCCTCTTCAGAGATTCTTTCACATCCGAATCCTCATAGAGTGTGTCATCGCGCATTAAACCTGCCACAGACAACATGCAATGCTGAAGATGCTTTAAAAAAAAAAAAAGGAAAAATCACCGATACAAAAGCCCATATTCATTCAATTATGTTTTCTAACTACATTCATATTTTCATGACATACTTACCGAGCTTATTGAAGCCACACATGCTGTAATACCATTTGCGGAATCCAACCAGGAGCCGGCCTGACGCAGCTGTGAATATAACAGGACACAGACAGGATCAGACAGGAAGGGCAGATTTTTATAATTACCATCAGATGTGGGGAAGAAGGAGTGAGTGATACAGTATTACTACTTAAATACGAATTTATTATTTTCTTTGCCATTAACCTTTCAGATCAGCCACGTTTGTAGGGAGCATACACTAAAGTAGACTAAAAAACATAAACCTGTCAGACATGACTCAGTTCCTCATATAAAACAACATCAAACTCGACAACTTCACTTTTAAGTTAGTAAATATGTAGAAACCATTATATCTGATAAAGACAATAAGACAAACAGTGGAAAACTTTTGCCCTTCTGATCATTTGACATCTTTTAAGTTCATTAAAAAGATGAAACAACAAAACAACAGTAACTGCTAAAGAGCTAATATTAAATAACATCCGAGTATAAATGTTACAGATCAACACCAAACCGTAGCTGGACGAAGCTTTAACCCACTGAAGGGAGAGCAGAGTGTTTAGTTTTAACATTCATATTAATTTAATATTAATTTCTTACACTGTGATTACCGGAGGACGCTAAGCTAACGTTAGCTAACCCGTAGCTTTAGCATCAGTTAGCCAAAGGACACTAAAGGACACAAGTCAAATGCGCCAAAAAACACGTTTTAAAGCCGCATTACGCGACCACAGCACAGTATAACGTGTTAATATATTAACAAGCTTCACAACATGACGGTATGAAACCATATTTAGCGAATTTAGTGTAAATGTTAGAAAGAAACAACGTTGATTTACCTGGTGCCCTCGACGCCATCTTTACCACTGAGGAACGACCGCGGTGCGTTGTGGGTAACCTATTCAGGTCACTGGGCGATTGCGCAACTTCTCTGTACGTGTTTACAGCCTGTCTGCAAGTTTAAATAATTATAATCTATATAACAAGGAGACGTCTTTAAAAGCTCTGAATCCGACCGTGAAACCAAATGAACATATAGAATTTATTTGATTTAAAAGAACTAGTTGATTTGATTAAGACTGATTTCATATTAGATAAACCAAACACAAAGTGCTGGACTACAGAAACTTTACCGAGTAAAAGGAAAGAATGTAATTTATATATTTTATCAATTGATTTATTTCCAGATGCATTCACATGTTAAGCAGCATATTATTACTGTTATATTATTCAACTATATTTATGATGATGCCTCCTGCATTCACACCCAATTACAAGTTCTTTGAATTTGTAACTAAGTGCTTGAGTCAACACTCTTAGCTGTAGATCTGATTCTTTTCTAATTGCAAACTACAATCCACTCTCATTAATCAATACATGATGGATGACCATATTCTTCACAGCCCCTCAACTGAGGCAAATATTTTGAGGGACTGGATTAAACATAACTTTTATCACATTTAGATAGTTGTGGGAAATAAAAGTAGTATTTCAGACAGAGGAGGTGATATACATTGTGAACATTTATTAAACATCACATTTACAAAGCAACTACTTCATTCCATAATAACTGATGTTTGTTTGAAGACTTCCATGTCTGCATATATCTGACATTATGGTATTTATTCTGTGTTTGACCACTCAAAGGGTCTTTTGGAACAAATTAAAATCTTCCAATGTGGCCAAAGCCAACTCAGTGCAAAACGTCTCATTGGGCAAAGACACAAAGCGTTCCAGGGAGATGTAGTTGGGCAGGGCGGGGTCATACTGAGCCTTTCCAAGGTAGTTTAGGAACAGGTGGCGCTCTCTGACACGCAGGTACCTGCTATTGAGGACCTATGGGATATAAGATGCTCTTGTTACAGTTCAGAATATGGACAAAATACACAAGGAATTAAGTCCACATTGACTAAAAACAACCAACAGCAGTCAATCTACCTGTGGGAACTTGGTGATCAGGTGGTGGGGCACCTTCATGGTGTTGTGGAGGAAGTCAAATATTTGGATTAGCTTCCTTTTCTGAACAGTCAACACTTTTGGGACGGCAATAACTATGTGTTGGATCTCATTTTCCTTGAAGCCAAGCTCTATTTGACACACCTGTGGAGCACATTTACAAACAGTATTTCAACACTGCACCTCAAGGTTACTCAAACAGTGTTTTCTAATAATGTCTTTTTACCATTCAGTACCTTCAAATTTTCTTTAATGGGCTCCAAACTTCCAGACAGTAATTTGGGTTGACGAACTACAATGTTCCGTATCTGAAAAGAAAAACACTATTATTTATTTTTCTGATAACAAAATCACAACACACTGGCATAATATACTGTACAGAGAGAATCCAAGACAAACATGGCTCGGTTTCTCCTACATCAGTTAAAAGATGCTTACATTGGAAGCACTGAGTTTGAGTTGCTTCTGGTAGAACCCCAGTCTGTTGTCCAGCCTCTTCACATTGAAGCTGAGCAGATATGGAGCTCTGGATACCATCAACGCAACATTCTCAGAACTGAACTCCTGTGACTTGAGATAGTCCACCCTTTGAAAACAACAACGAGAGAACATTATTAAGACTCATAGCAGGTGCATCAGACAGATTTAATTTAGAATAAATACATTTGGTATATATAAAGGCATCTAATGTTCATGTTTCTGAGATTCCTTCATGTCACCTGGACCGTAGTTGTTGCAAATTCTTTGTGAGAATGAAGGGGTTCCGTGAGATGATAGGGCCGAAGCTAGAGTCTTCCACCCCAATCTCTTTGAGAAACAGCAGCTTTGGGGCTACATCTGTGTTGAAGTTGAGCCTCAGCAGCATGGAGCCCACGTTGGGCCTTTGTTCAAGACTCCACAGCTTTACACCTGCAATGAGAGGATGAAGGATTACAAATGTGTAGCCACCAAAAAAAAGAAAGAAGAGATTTTGGTTGTCAGACTTTTAAGATCATTGCTTATATCATAATAAATATGAAGATACTTCCAAACTACAAGTCTGAGGTTTAATTACCTAGCTGTACCAGTTTGCTGAGTGTCTCAGACTGGTCAACATAGTCACTCAGAGAGGTGGAGCATGGAGGCATGGTAGAAGGAATAGATATACCCAGAGCCTCTTCATCACTGATCAACTCTAATGCTGAAAGTTCAGTAGTAGCATCCAGATCTAGTAAATTAAGAAAATAAAGACAAAACAATTTATTCAACTCCTTCATGAAATAAAAATAACATTTAAATCAAATTCTTATGTTATATAAAAGGGTTTTATGGTCAATAACACCAAAACAATAGTACCTAATGACATCTGGCCTTTGGTTACTGGCATTTCAGCATCTCTGATTGGCAACGCGGGGGTCTTGTACACCACAACATCAGCTTTTGACAATTGTTCAGTATCTTTGTGTTCCTTAGCTTCAGTTGCCAAATGTCTGGCAGTTAAGTCTCTGTAACAAAACATTGGTTGTTTCCACCACTGTCTTGCCTGCATTGTGGTGCGATTCCCGCTGATAACCGAGGATCCATTTAGGATTTTCGTGGGTAACCTTGTAAGTGTAGCGCAATGGTGAAACTGAGTGGAAAATCGGCAAGTAGTAGCCACTGTCTTTGAGAAAAGACGACTTCGGTATTGTAGACACAGCTGTGTGAAGGATGAAGACATCGCAATTCTGCAAGAAAAAGATAAATCATGGTTTATTGAGAGTACTTCATAAAAGCTTAAAAATTGTAGTAACTTTCAATATACAGTACTTAAACACAGCGGCCAAAACAAATGTAAGGTGCTTCGAAATACAGAAATACTGCTAAACAAATAAGTAAAGTAAAACATTTAACTATACGAGCAAGAGTTGGACAACCAACCATCTATATATATATATATACGTTATATATAACGATATATATATATATGATATATATATATAAAACGTTATATATAACGATATATATATATATAACGAAATATATATATATATATATATATACGATATATATATATATAAAACGTTATATATAACGATATATATATATATAACGAAATATATATATATATATATATATATGCACACACACCCTTACACATGCACATATTTGCAACTCTGTGTATATATAATTGTTTTTAAATCCTTGTGTATGTTCTGGTCATTCAACGTTACATGCTATTGCCCAATATTGACGTTAGTACAATAAGATGATGGAGTTCTGCTATATCTCTAGTGGCTAATTTTGCTAGCTGTTTATAGCCTCACCACCAGTACCATTCATATATAGAGAAGCATTTAGAATAACTCACCTACCTATTAATTATTTATGAATAAAGGTAAGATACAAAACAGAGGTTTAGGACTATAAAAGAGGAAACTTGAGCCTGATGCTTCGTTAAATGCTAGCAAGCTAGGAGAATAACAAACCTCGTGTAACCTGGAGGGAAGAAAACAGCCAGCCAAAGCCACAATATAACTTCAGACGGTTCACTTTATACTCACAATTTTAATTCAAAGGATTTAATCGTCAAATCAACTTCATCATCCACCAAAATGTGTCCCGCAATGTCAAATGATCTCACGTGGCCATCAACGGAAGGACTTTCCGGAAGTGTCACAATTTGGGATGTACCACGATGACATATGTGTGGGTACCAATAAATACAAATAATATACTGGCGAGGATAGAAAACTAAAATAGCGGAATTTACCTCAAATATAACACTACAGTTGTAAATTGAATTCAGTTATTGTATTGTCGGGTCATACTATTTATATTTGGCTAATACGAAAACGAGTATTTTAACAAACGAACACCCCCCTATTAAGCTCTATGGTTCAGCTCGTCTCCTGTGTTTTCTGTCTTACCAGTATCTCGTCTTTCTGCTTTTACAACTTCTAGTTTCAGCCATTAAAGTTGAATTGGTTAAATTAAGAAAGTAGCTAGCTATCCCGCAACAGCGACATGGCAGGCACCGTGGCTCGCCGAGGCTCTGGAAAGGAAGATGTCGACTATAAGTTACATTTCCGAATGATAAACGAGCAACAAGTAGACGATATCTGTTTGGATTTCTTCTATAAGCCACACACAATCACACTCCTGACATTTACTGTGCTCAGCCTCATGTACTTTGCGTTTACCAGGTAAACTACTGCGTGGAAATGTAACTTTTTTCATGTTATTTGTCCACAATGGCTGTATGTAATATGTACAATGTCTAAGAACTTAAGCTTCCCTTTGTTAACATGTCATACTGTATTGTGACAGGGACGATGAGCACTCCGATAACAACCTCCGAGTTGGTCTGTTGGTGGTTGTCTCCTTCTTCTTGGTCATCAGTGTCCTAGCCTTTCCTAATGGTAAGCCACTGCATGTAACACAATCTACATTCACTCTTTCATTAAATGCGATTAAGTGCCTGCCCATGCTGTTTTCTTGTATTGTCCAATGTACTTCTGAAACAATGAGTCAATTGACATTAATTTGCAACTGGGTTGATAATTAGTTAATAGTTTAAGTCATTTTTCAAGCTCAAATACCAAATAGTCTCCGCTTCCAGCTTTTCAAATGTGAGGATTTGTAGTTTTTCTTTATCTTATGTGATAGTAACATTAATATTTTGGGGTTTTGTGCGAGAGGCACAACAAATATCAGCTAAAAAAGGCAACCTGCCAGTCTAAACATCTGTCCTGATTCAGTGTGTATGTTCATTATTAATGACTAGCTTTTTCCGGAGATTTCAACTGCATCTAATGGTCTCCTTCTCTTGAGAGAGAGTGTTGTCATGGAGATTGCACAGTTGTCACGTATGGAACTTCTGTGATGCTGCATATCTCCCTGACAACTGAGCAAACTCCATGCAACGGAGGAAGACCATGAGATTTGGTGGGTGACTCTGGGAAAAAACCTAGTAAGTGGACCTTTAGTT